TGCACTTTTGCATCTGCACGCAACAGGAAAAAACGTCTACTTGCAATCAGGGCTTTTATTTGTTGTATTCGTAAATATTTTGTAAATACGTGCGATTATTTGATGCAAACATGTCATTTGTTTGTTTTGTGATCTTTGGGGCAAGCCCTATAAATAGGTGTGGAGCATGGCTGGCAATGAAGGAAAGCGTATGCGTATTTTTTGTACTATTTGTTTCAGTGGCACTTTGCATAGTGCCTAGTATAGCAGAGTCGAGTGCGAAGGAACTTGATGGTTTACAGGAAGATCCCCCCGACATTGTGACAATAGCTGGGACATCTGGCACTGCGAAGACCGAGGAAACAGGAAAAACAGCTGAGAATGCAGGAAAAGGATCCACGAACGAGCTAGAAGACTTGCCCAAACTCTACATCCCTCACTGTAAATACTGCCAGAGGCTGCTCATGCAGTCTTCCTGCAGGTCCAAAGAGAAACCAGACAATACGGACGAAGACGAGGACCAGGACCAGGACCAGGAGCAATACATAGACTTCAACAGTGACGAAAGCAGCGGTGAAGGCCCCAGCTTCAAGAGGAGCTACATGGAGAGGTATCGTGCGGCAAAGAACACCCTGGACGGAACATCGGGTCTGCACATATTCCCAGACTGCCCAAACTCGACAGCGCATAAAAGTGACTACTCGCAGCCTATAAAGAGCTCCCTTATGGAGAGCCCCGAGTGGTTTGGGCATTGGAACAATATCCGGAAGAATTACCATCCCTCTACACTCGATAGTATGATCAGTGCAAACAAGTGCGGGTCGATAAAAGAGATAGATGAGCAATTGCATAAGAACATGCCCCCGATCCCTGAAAACTACAAGGGCGAGATAGAAGCTATGAGGATGAGCTATGTCAGCCTAAAAGCTGAAATCGAAGCGATGGAAGATGAGTTTGCCGATAAGACAGCGTTGATAGAGAAGGAGATGGAGTTGAGCAAAATCCCAGACCCGAAAACAATAGGAAACAAAAAGAAGGCGAATGAAGCTGCAGAAGAAAAGAAAAAATTAGAAGACTCCATTGCGGAAATTAAAGAAAGAAAGAACGCGCTGAAGCGTCTAATACACAAAAAAATAATCGAGAAAAAAAGACAGAGACATCTCCTGCTGGAAATACAAAGGTCCATGA